ACATAATTGTATGCTTCTAGAAACTTAAATCCTTCAAGAATTTTCATACATTATGATCCATATCTATTCATATATTGGATCGTTTATATTTATATAAGGATTTGAATCCTTTTGGGATTCACATATAATTTTACTACATAGTGAGTCACTGTATTTTCTAGACGTATAAGAGATATTTTTATATATTATCAAACTGCCAGATTGATAAGATACATAAAAATTTTAATTCACCACAAGATTGTATTTCTCTTTTCTTGTACAAATGCCCATTACACTTCAGGTACTTGGGTTAAAGATACACAAATCTCCTGTTATAATGTTGCGTCTTTTCTTTTCTATTGGCCAATCATTTTTCTGTCAATATTTCATAACATATTTATATATAAGATCCTCATTTGATCATATGATATCATCAATCAAATTGTTGTCGATAATTTTATTCCTTTATCAGTCCCATTTTCTTTTATGACGTAATAAATTGATATCTCTTTATTGCTTTTATACACTTAAACTTCTTCAGGGGTCAAAGAATTATGTATTAACCTCTTTTGCAATTCATGCTTCCTTAGTATGATCATGATGATCATTTGCTCCTTTTTTTTTCTTTTGGAACCGATCATAATATCATGCTTTTAGCATGTCTTTAAGAATGAGAGCATTTTTAGCCAGAATATAAGAATTAAGAATTCTCACTTGGGTCAGTAATTGCATCTGGCAGATATTAGTAATGTTTTACGAATGCAATACTTTATGAACTTCTAGTTCATACTACTATATTTGAGGATCTACATTTGATAGTGAAAATGCATTCTATGTGTTTTCTTTTCCAGCTACACATTTTCTCCCCCTCATATTGGGAACATGTAATGTAGGTCTCCCAAATCCATAAATCTCCTTTAGAAACATTATTTTGCTTCATTTAGAGACAAACAAGAATAAGGAGATTCTTATCCAACAGTGATCCCAACTTACTTTTAATATCCATCTATATACATTATTATAGTGAAATAATAGATATTGCATGTTCTAAGATGAAAATTGTCTGGATCCTGACCAAAAGTCAATTATAATGGGAGAATTCATAATACATTGTTGGCTTGATGCATTTATGTGCAAAAGTATAGAAAATCAATCATCCCAACACTCAAATAGGAATTTTGTTCTCATAAACTCTGATCTAACTACTTATGGAGGCTATTACTAAGTATATAATCATTAGCAACGTGAGGAACAATCACTAGCAATCTCAACGAGAATCATATTGATTGCATAATCAAGAACTTATGTACTCCATGTAATTCTCTAAACATATTTGCAAACTTCAGGTTGCAAGTTGATCATAAATACCTGTGACCATTTTATAGATGCATCTTTCACTTATACAATGTTACTTTAGTCCACATGATATCTAAATGGGCCCATATATAAAGTTGATATATTATAAATCTGCACGGATCTGATTTTGAGCATAGCTAGCGATGTTCTCTTATTTAGTTCTTTTGAGAACAAACAACACATAAAAATTCTTGAATTATATATCATTTTTAAAGAATCTTCTAGTTCTTTAATAAATGACAATGCACATTTTTCTTGATATTTTGCATCATTATGATCCGAGATAATCTGACCGGTCATGCCAAACTATAAATGTATAAACTTCTCGTTTGTTATAAAATTATTCTCAATTATTAGTAAACTTCTTGTTACCATGTCATATTATTCATTTTTCACCTTAATATTTCATAAGGAATATGCTATCAATTATAGATTTTATCTTCAGGATAATGAATCATGATATAACTCTTCTAGAGCGTTATTTTTCATCTTTTACCTAATGGTAAAAACCTGTGCACTCACGGAAGGTTGAGCGCTATTGACTCTTCTGGAGCCTTTTTCAAACAGAATATAAGATATAAAAAATGATATTAATATTAATAATAACAAATTTCATCCAACATAATTCACACTTGTATTTCAACAATCTCCCCCTCAAGTGTGAGTCATATAAATATATTTTTCTTATTTCTATATTTCAAATAGAGTGAATATAGTAAGCTAATAATATATATTTAACTTGAAAATCCAAATGCTTCCTAATTCAGATATAATAATGAATTTCAATCCAATTGCACTATCACCTTAAAACCCTTTGATAAACAAATATTCTAACATATATAGTTGTTTAGGAACTAACATATATTAATTTTTCACTATATGATATACTTTACTTCTAGTTATGCTTTTTCAAAGTATGAAATATTTTTTTTTTCAAAACATAAAATTTTATGGATATTCGTTATTCAAAAACTTCACTTCTTTGTATATATTATGTAATGCTTCAAAACTTATTCATAAAATTATAAATCCAACAAAAATTTGAGAAGATCTACAAAGACTAAAATCAAACTATATAGTTATGAAGATTTAAATCATAAGCCTTTAGAGCTATTTATAAGTTATTAGTCTTCAAGACTCTATATAGTAAATATATATTTTAAAAATCATCTGTGTCCCTTAATATTTGAACCATAAGTCTTCGGGGCTTTAAAAACATCATAAGTTATTATTTTCATGTCATTTAATAACATAAGTGTAATGGCTAATGGCCATTTAGTAATAGAAAATTATAATATTGATAAATATCAAATTGAATGTGAAGAATATATGAGAATAAAATAAGAATAAAACTTAAATTTTAAATTAATTAAATGTAATATGAAATAAAGAGAAAAATGTAAACTCTTTTACCAATACATCCTTCACTATATAGTCATTAGTTTTCTAGGCTACATTATTTATAATTCTAATTGTCATAATTTTTCTTTTATAAACAAACCATATAATGATCCTTCTCATAATCAAAACTATATGACTTCAAGCCATTTAATAAAGAAAATAAAGATATATGGCATCTAGCTATTTAATTTCAAAATAAAAAAAATTAAAGATATATGGTTTCTAACCATAAGATAAAAATTTGATGTTATATGGCTTTTAGCCAATTAATAAAATAAAAAAATTAAATCTTTATGACTTCTAGTTATAAGATAGAACATCAAAGTTATATGGATGCGAGCCATTTAAGAAGATATAGAAAAATTATATATAAATATATATGGCTTCTGGCTATAAAATAGGAAATTTAACATGATGTATATAAATAAAGATAAATTAAATATATATGACTTCTGGCCATAAAATAAAAAATTCAAATTATACGGCTTTTAGCTTTTTAATGAGATAAAAAAATTCAAATATATATGGCTCCTGGCCATAAGATAAAAAATCAAAGTTATATAGCAACTAGTCATTTAATAAGATAAAGAAAAATTAAATATATAAGACTTCTGGTCAAAAAATAAAAAATTCAAATGAAATGGCTTCTAGCCATTTAATAAGATAACAATAATCAAATATATATGGAATATATATGTATTTCTTATTCTATTCAAGTGTACTCAATACATTATACATGGCCTCTATTTATAGGCACAGCTTTACACCTTTGATAGAATCTATAGATTACATAATAATATGAGATAATTGTGGGATACAGAGATAATAGGAGATATAGGAGATAATAGGAGATATATAGACATCCACAAAGACATTATTATATTCATAACAGATAACTTAATATAATTTTTCTTGAATACAGTTATTGAGAAAAAAATCTAAATATATACATCCATAATTGTCCCTCTCTTAGCCCTAACTCTAAAAGATAGCCACCAAACCCTCTATCAATTATTCAGTTTTCCAATATTATACCACGTTGATCAAAATTTATCCAAGTATTATCTATACATTCTGTAAAAAATAAATTCTTTTGTTCTGTGAAACATACATAAATCTATCACATTAGATAAAAGTAGAATGAATAGACCATATTATTTTACTTTTTATTACATTAATTCTTAATATATTATTTCTTTTTTTCCATAACAATTTTATTTTAAATAATCAACTAAACACATTTTGTTATAGATTGAACAGGCCCGCGGGGGTCTCATAAATGAGTTACTCCTCCGGTTCTTAATATAAGGCTTTTTTAACTGATTTGATTATATTAAAGAAGTTAGATAAGTTAGCTAATTATAAAAAATATGACATGTTTTTTCTAAAATATCATAATCATCTTTCTTAATATTCTTCCTCTCTCATTTCTTTGATTATGGTTGAGAAAGTATTCATAAGGGTGATTTAGAAAAAATTAATAAAAATGAGAAATATATCTTATATTTAGGACTAGAATTAACTTAGCCGGAGGAGTATATTATACTTAATTGAAAAGAACACTTGTTTATATTTAAGGTCTAAGGTACCCGCTTAAACCTAAAGTAGTTGGTAACACACGAAAAAAAACGCAAATCCCTATTAGAAGTTTTAATTGTAAGTTTTTTTTTTGGCAGGAAAAACAACATTCCTAAACAAAAGAACCTGAACCTAAAATGCAAGTCATCTTGTGTGTAACAAAATCCTTATTCTCTCATATTATTGTTGGGACGTTGGGTGATTCAGATATTTGTATGCAGTTATCTAAAAACCTATCGCTTCTTTCCCTCTTCGTCTCTGCATGTCATACTCCAATGAAACAAAGCGTCCCTTCTAATTATAGCGACGCGAAAAAACCTTTTTCTCTGTTTAATTAATTAAATCACATATATCTTGAAGGCACAAAGAGTTCTAAATATAGGCAGTGAGAGAAACCAAAAATGAGGTAATGATATAACATTGACGACTGGGACATCCTTAATTAATAATGTCTGTCCTCTATTTTTGTTCAATGATCGACGATCTATGTACTCTCCATCTCCTCCTCTAGTTTCAGAAATTTAAGACACATGCGTCTTTGGTTATGCCTTTTGTGAGGTTGGCTTCATCGCCGCATGTTTTCAATCTCACCATGATTTTGGTTTGTTCCTCTGCCCAGCCAATCCCGCCATTTTGATTTGCAGTAATATATAGCAGAGAAGAGGAGATAAGATATTCCTTCATTAATGGCGTCGTCCCAGGTTGAAATTGCTCTAACATCGCCGTTTGGTTGTGTTCTGAGAAAATATAATCATCATCGTGAGAGATGCAGGGAAAGTACCTCTCGAGTTTCTTCATCACAAGGAACAACTTTCCACCAGAACAATAATGACAGAAGCAGCTTTGTGGTCGGAGATCATCATGTAGCAGCACAAATGGATGTTGTTAAGAACATGAATAACAGCAACGTAGGATTGACGAAGAAGGAGAAAGAAAATCAATCCTCATCCTCGTCGAATAACAACAACAACGACCCTAATAGGCAATCACAAATTCTGGATCGATGGGCTGCAAGAAAAGCTAAAGAAATGGTATCAACAATTGAGACAGAAGCTGAACTTTTGGAGAATCTGGGTAATTCTTCTTCAACTTCTTCATTATCGTCATTATCAGAAACAACATTGAATAATCGTGGAGCTTCGTCTCTTGTTCAAATATGGGAAAAGAGGTTGAATAACCTGAACCACCAATCACTAAAGTGCAATACAACATCAAGCAGAACGTCATCGCTTGGGTCATCAGATGTTGGGGAACTCATGGATGAATCATCATCATCATCATTGTACTCAGATTGGGTAGGAGCAACAAGTACTGATACAAACGAAGCTGCATCATCATGTTCAACCCCAAAGGTGGCAGATATTATCAAGAGATTGAAGGAGAATAAATATGGGCAAGATCAACAAAGTAATAATAATTCAAATTCAAATAATAATAATAATATGATGATGATGGGATCGTCATGTTTGTCATCAAGTAGAGATCAACAAGGACAACACACAAGCGTGGTGCTTCATCATGTGGCGAGTTCGCCTCGCTTTCGAGGCCGTCGAGCACTCACAGATTTGCTTATGCAGATGGAACGTGACAGACATGGAGAGCTCAATAATTTGGCTCAGCTTGCACCTGTTTCCAACTTTTCACAAAGAGGTCGAGGTCGTATTCAGGTAGAGTAACTAGACAGGAATGAGTTCATGACTTGTGATGATGTGTGTGTGTGTGTGTGTAGTTACAACTTGTTGATAATTAATTGCTTAATCTTTATTGCAGAGAAGTTATAATATGCTTGTTTCTTTTTTATCAATAGTTAAAGGGATCTTAAGATGGGAATGTGAGGTGCTGCTAGCAATTTTTTTTCATAGTTTTATTAATATCTCATTTTGATTGTTTGGTATTTTTGTCTTCACCTTGAACTCATTAACAAAACTAGGGAAGTAACATAAGGAGGAGGGAAGCTATCACTTACTTCTATATATAGATCCATTTCTTAAAAGTTTAATATTTTTAAAGTAATTTTTTCTCATTTTATCTTGTCCTACACTTGTCCATAACTAGGGTTTTACATAGAACATGAAGTTGTAATTTGCTATATAAATAAGAAGACAAGACAAATAAGTATTCAAAAGCTAGTCATTTCTCTATTATATATCTACTTGTATAAATAAAATAATTTTTTAGCCATAGATATAAGAGATAGTGCGCCTTTAAATTTGCATACTAAAATTTCTCCTCATTATTCATTTGTTTGCTTATAGAAAATTGCATTAATTCTTTGCAGTCACTCTTGCGGCTTAGATTATTAAAACGACACCATGAATCAACAACATATGAAAAGAAGAGACAACCAAAAGGGTCCACAATTATGCACCTAAGGTATGATAATTATTTGACGCAGAAATCTTATTTTTTCGCCGCTTCTTAATGTCAAAACAAGACACACACACACACATATATATTAATCATCATTCTGTGTCATATTTGGCATAATTGTTAAAAATGTACCAATAAAATGCAGGGAAAGATTTAATGTAGAAGTAAAACAAGGAAGTACAACTCAGCCAGAAAAAGATAATTCAAGAAATACCCACCTTAATCAACCCGAAAGCCCTATTCCTGTTCATAACCCCATCGGCGAGCACAGGTCGAACCCGATCGGGTCAGACCCGGAGGTCAACATGACAAATGGCTGCCAAAATGACAATGATGACGATGCATATGATCACACAGAAGCATGTGCTCATAAACCAGAAGAAGAAGAAGCCAGTGCAAGTTCAGAAACAGTATGCTTGGAGGCTCAGGACAATATTGCATCACATGAAGTTGGCGAGACAAGAACTTGCTATATGGTTGAATCAGATGCAAATCATGAGACAAAAGAAGAAGCAGAGCTGGCAGAGGTAAAGCAGGATCATAGTGCTGAAACCGAAATCAATTATGTGGATAATGGAACAATAACGAATACTGAAGATCAAGATGAACATGCAAGTGATGAAGGGGAAGATTATGATGATGTTGATGATGATGACCGTAATGATGACGACGAACATTATTATGATTGGATCAGTCCTATTGCTCGCCCAAGAAGTTACTGGGAAGATCGTAGACAAGCCTGGTACAAGGAGATGCTTGACACTGCTTCCTCTGATAAAAGAGAGATACGTCAACTTCTTGAACGGTACGTATGAAACTTTTCCTTTTTTGGTGATTTAAAATATTATCACAGTAGTGAAGATATTTTCATTGTAAATTGAGCATTATATTGATTTTGAGTAAATATGAATTTGTGTTCAGAAGAACAGTTTCAACTTTCCTTTCAAGTGACTTCAGAGAGAGAGTGGACAAATTGATGGAATACCACATAGGTTCACAAACACATTTTATCAGTAGCCAAGAAGATGATGAAGACAATGGAGGAAGAATGGGCCAACTAGTGTCATTTTTGGAACAACATATACAGCGCCATGGTCATAACCTAGAAGAAGCTGAAAAACAAGAAGAGGCACAAAAGGAGGAGGAGGAGGAGGAAGAAGAAGAGAGGTTGAGTAATAACAATGGAGGTTATAATGAAACCAGTGATGATGGCAATCAATCATCATCGTCATCATCATCAACAAACAATCTTATTTCCTCTTCTCCAAATATGTCATCATGGAGCTATAGAGACAACGAAGCCGCCAGTGATGATTCTGAAGACAGAGTTGATGAGTCTACTACATCATCTTCAACACAGCCTTCTCAATCTCCTACTCGCCAGTGCATTAATCCTCATTCAGTGGTGAGTCCTCGTATCATTTTAGCTTATCATCTCACTACTGTATATACTTCACTGAAAACAAAGGAGATAAGTAATATCTAAGATTACTATCTATGGCATTGTTAGGAAATGGATCTGATATGTGATATGAGAGGGCAAATGGAGCAACTATACAGAGAAATGGCTGAGATTAGAAAATCACTAAAGACCTGCATAGATATGCAGATGATGCTACAAAAATCAATGAAACGCGATGTTAACACAGGTTCGCGCAAATATACATACATATTCTTTTACATATATGAACTATATTATCTCAGTAGTATATATGAAACTAATGAAACAATAACGAACATGACAGCACTTAGAGAAAAGAAGAAGAAGAGGAAGAGCAATGATCAGAAGGCACCAAAGAAAGGCAACTGTTGTATCTGCTATGAGAAGAAAGTCGACTCACTTTTATACAGGTACGTGTGTGTGTGCGTGTGTGTCTATATAATATCTGCCTTATAATATAGAATTGAATATGTGTAATGATGAGTATATATTGAATGATGTGAATGAAGTTGAATGTGATGGTGATTTGATTTGCAGATGTGGGCACATGTGTGCGTGTATGAACTGTGCAAATGAGTTGCAATGGAACAGCGGCAAGTGTCCAATATGTCGAGCTCCAATAGCTGATGTTGTGAGAGTTTATGTGGATGCATAGATATCAATTATCACTCATAATGATGAAGGCACAAATTTGAAGTCAATGATTCACATGCATATACTTTTTTGTAAAACTAATTGGTTTATGTTTTTCTAGGAGAAATGCATATTCAACAATGTCTTGTTGCGTTATACTAGCTTTTTATTTTTCAATGTAACTTTTTTCTTCATCTCTCTTCTTTATGGTTTTCTGTTGGGTGAAACCACTAACGTATACTCTTTTATGCTTTAGCTAGCCCAATATGATTAGGTTTGAGTCAGTTTACTATCTAGTTTCTCCTGCCCCAGTCGGAATATATAGTTTTCCCCCTCTTTAAAGTCCAAGGATTCAAATGAAAAGAAAAGACTCCTTGGGGGTTATTCTATATTATTTGCAAAAAATTATCAAATATTTTACACGTTTTGTCAAAACTTTTAGAATAATATACTATCTCCAATCCTTATTATATGATCTTGTTTATACATTACAAATAAAGTCTTATAATTAAGACCGAAGGTAGTATTACGCTAAGCAAACTGTGAAGGGAAAAAAGCCATCTACCATCTTTTTTGCTTAATGATGTGCATCATCGTAACATGTTAATTTAATAGAAAACATATGAGAATGAAATAATATTTGCCTTTAAAATTTTATCACGAAAGATGCCTCATAAGACTTTAAAAAAAAAAATAGACATTTATATATGACTGTGAGCTTTTCATCACATAAATTGTTTCAAAGTTATCATTAAATGAAATGCATGCAATTATTAGAGGAATTCAAAATATAAATACACGATGGTTCAAGACAAAAGTTTAACCAGAATAAGAAGAAAAAAAAGTTGGGAAAAAGTCCCTATTAAAAATTTTATTTTGAAAAAGAACCTAATAAATTTTAATATATCATTACTCTAATTAAGACTCTTCTCATGGATAAAATTCTCAATAAGAGATTTTTCCCAATGTTCCGTAAGAGAGAAACAAACAAATTAGAATAAAACCTTACTTTTATTCTAATAAACAGTAAGGTTGGGCTTAACAGAAGAGACAGTTCCTTTGCAACAAGATTCAAATGCCCCTAAGAAACATGTCTACGTTTAGTGTCCAATAAATCTTTAAACCAAAAAAAAAAAACAAAACAAAACAAAAAAGACGAGTTCACTTTTATGGATTTTAGGGCCTGTTTGGGTGACCCTCAAAACCATGGTTTGGGAGGTAAAACTATAGTTTTGGTGAGATGTCACCCAAACAGCATCAATTTTGGGCCAATAATCTAAAACCATGGTTTGAGCCAAAACCATGGTTTTGGAATCCAATATTGGGCCCCAGCCCTCAGTATAATACCTAGGGTCTAATTTGGTGGATCGGCAGATTTCAAACAAAGTATATCCATTGCAGATTTTAAATTTTTTTTTTTGTTTAAATCAAACTTACTGGTCCGTAATCCAGAATATATCTGTGTTTGTGAAATATTGCAAGTGAATAAAATAAAAAGCAAAAAGCCAACAAAAGTTAGTCTAGTTGGTAAGAAATCAGTTCATTACTCACAAAATTATGAGTTTAAATCTCACTACAGATATGAGAACCTTATTGACGGGTAATCTATAAATACTTCTATAAGCACTATCTAAACATATAGGTTTAACAAAAAAGAAAAAACAGTAGAAAAATGTAGATCAAGATTCACCCAGGGCTTTACTTTTTGTTATCTATGTTTCTTCCTCTTTTTCTTTTTCCTTTTGAAAAATAGAGATACTTGCATACAATCGTTTCATGTCAAAAGACACAAAGCTCGGAGGCGAAAGATTGTAAAGTTAATTGCGAACAACTTCTCTTTATATCTCATTGGATCCAACCACCCCAATTACATATATGTACATATACATATATATTATTTAAAATGTTAGGATAATATTAAAGAGAAAATATTATAGAATCTTGTTTTTGATGAAGAAAATATCAAATTTATTGTTGAAATGTGCTCTCTAAAGAGTGAAAAGGTAGATGCAAATAGTTTATGTCATACCTCATATTCTTCTTTTGTTGTATGCCTAGTATCGTCCACTATAGTCTAGAGCTTAAGTTAAAGTTCTAATAATCACTTACTTTAAAAAAAAAAAAATGGGTTTTCCAGATTTTTTAAATAAAATAATTATGATTATTTTATTTCTACTAGATCATCTGAGGGAAGCTAGAATTTATATTCATTATATATTTTGTCTTAAAAAATTAAAAAATAAATTGAATGGGTGTGAGTGAAAATAAAATAAATTTAAAATTCCAAATTGTTGCTCTAATTGAATTAATGAAAATTCCTATTTACAGAAGTTGCACCAGACAACACGCATTGGTTTGGGGCTGGGAGCATTTAAATAAGTGTTTTTGTATTTTATAAATAAATTTTTTTTGTAGAGAAAAAAATTAAAATAAAGGTCATGTCAAAATCCCAAATTAAGAATTATTACAAAAACCATAATGTCATTTGTTTTTCCAGTGTGATCAATTACTATTAAAATATAATAAACAATATTGATTTAAAATTTTAAAATTCAAGAGGCATTTTTGAGATTTTCCTTTCATACACTTATTTCACATGACATAAAACTGCTTAAAACAAGATGTCGTTTTTAGCTCACTTAATGAAGGGAGTAATATTGGGTCCGTTTGTATTAACGATTAGAAAAGTAACTTTTAAAAAAGTAAAGTTGGATAAAAATTCAATTGGATAAGTTGAATTATATTTGGATTAGAGTTTAGAAAAATTAGTTTGCAAAAGTGATATTGGTAAAAAGTTGTTTCGATTATAATTGAATAAAAGTAAGTTTGGTTGTGAAATTACCAAAATGGGTATGAGTTTTAATAATAATGAAACATAGTTAAAAAAATGATTTTACATAATACAATGAAATTAAAATAATTTAATATAAAGAAGTCAAATTGAATGAGTAAATTAAATTTTAAAACTTCATTAAAATCATAAAAAATATTGTAAATATCATATGAAGCATGAAAAAAAAAGAATTAAGATAATATAATGAAGAAGTAAAATTTAATGAGCGAAATAAATTTGAAAACTGTAGAGAAATCATAAAAATATTTTTAAAATAAAGTGAAACATGATAAAAAAAAATGAATTGACATACTACAATGAATTTAAATGAGGAAAGGCAAGAATAAATGAGAAGAGGCAGGAATAAATGAGAATAAATGAGGAAAGGCAGGAATAAAAATATATCTGACAAGAAAATAATTTTCCAACAGTCCAGTATAAGCACAATGCAATTTTAAAAAGCTCCTCTCTTGTAACTTATTAAAACGCACGGTCTAATCAGTGATTTGGAGTTGAAGTGGGATCTTCCAAAAGCTGTCCCAAACACCCTTACATGACTAATCGGCTTTATCAACTACTTAAACATCATTTTGGCTCACAAAACACCCATCCAAACAGGCAGATTGTCAAGTTTCAAAAGTTGATTCTCTAAATTTAACATTTTTATGTTTTTAACTAAACTCTAACAATTGTTTATTTCACTTTTAATTTCAATTGTTTGTATCTGAAATATATTTAAACAAAATTATTGTATTTTTATATTTTAATTATTTAGTTATATTTTTTTAATAACTATTTATTCATGATGATTGACAGGAAAAAAACTCATGACATTGACAACATTAAACGAGAGTACAAATAAATGAAAGTAGCCACATGATTGTGGCCTCCACGAGAAGTACTCGGCCCAACACGCCGAAAAAGAGTAAAACCTGCCCAAGCCAAACACACACAGTGCTCAACTTATTAAGAAATTAGATTCTAGAAGCCCAGAATTTGTAAGAGAGAAACAAGCAAATTAGAATAAAATGTTATTTTTATTCTAATAAACAATGAGGTTGGGTTTAGCGGATAGAGTTAAGGTTCAAATACTTCTTAGAAGGATACTTACATTTAATGTCTGATAAATTCTTGAACAGGATTGCCTGTACTTAGCAAAAAAAAAAACAAAAAATGAGTTGAATTTTGTGAATTCAAGTTAGGGCCTTCACCCAGATTATCAAATGTTGGGCCCCAACCCTCAGTCTAATATCAAAGGTCTGATTTGGTGGGATGGCACATTTCAACAAGTATATCCATTGCAGATTTTAAATTTTTTGTTCATCTAAATCAAATTACTGGTCCTTAATTAATCCAGTATATATTTGTGTTTGTCAAATATTGCAAGTGAATAAAATAAAAAGACACAAAGCTAACAAGAGTTGGTCTAATTAGTAAGAAGTCAACTTATAACTCATAAAATCATAAGTTCAAATCTCATTACTGATATAAAAACCTTATTGATGGGCAATTTATAAGTACTTTTACAGACGGTCTCTGAGTCTATAGGCTTAACAAAAAAGACAAAAGAAAACTGTAAATCAAGATTCACCTAGGGCTTTACTTTTTGTTATGTATATTTCTTCCTCTTTTTCTTTTTCCTTTTGAAAAATAGAGATACTTGCATACAATCGTTTCATGTCAAAAGACACAAAGCTAGGAGGCCAAAGATGGTAAAGTTAATCGCGAACAACTTCTCTTTATATCTCATTGGATCCAACCACCCGAATTACATACATGTACATATACATATGTATATTATTTAAAATGTTAGGATAATGTTAGGGAGAAAATATTATAGAATCTTGCTTTTGATGGAAAAAAATATCAAATTTATTTTTGACATGTGCTCTCTAAAGAATCAAAAGGTAGATGCAAATAGTTCATGCCATCCTTCATATTCCCCTTTTGTTGTATGCCTATTGTCGTCTACTATAGTCTAGAGCTTAGGCTAAAGTTCTAATTATCACTTATTTTTTCAAAAAAAAAAAAAATTGGGTTTTCAAGATATTTTTTAGTAAAATAATTATGATTATTTTATTTCTACTAGATTATCTGAGGGAAGCTAGCATTTATATTCATTATTTTAATAACTATTTATTCAGGATGTGGACAAGAAAAAACCCATGACATTGCCGACATTAAATAAG